TGTTGTTGAGCGCGAGTGCCCTCCTTGAAAGGCTTCTGCTGTTCTCCACCCTTGTTGGGCTTCGAACTCTTCTCTTTGCCGCTGCTCTCTTGCCTTTTGTACTCAACAAAAGACTCCACCGTGGCCATGGCAGTTGCAAGGTCTTGCACTCCTCGACGTTGCATCTCCATCTTGGCCCATGGTTGCAGCCCATCAAGAAAGTCGTGCATGGCCTCCTTGTCCGTGATGTCCGGGATCTCTAGAAGCAGTTCCGAGAATTCTTTCACGTATTCTCGAACTCCACCCCTCTGGGTGAGTCTTCTCAACTTCGAACGGGCTTCAAATTCCACATTCTCTGGGTAGAACTGCCTCTTGATTTCTCTCTTGAAATCTTCCCACGTTACCATCACACAAGTACCTCTTTCGACGTCCGCTTCACGTCGCCTCCACCACACCATTGCAACATCAACCAAGTATAGTGGAGCGATACGGAGTTTTACCTCATCCTCTTGGATGCCGGATGCCTTGAAGTATTGCTCAAGACTCCAAAGGAAGTTCTCTAACTCCCTCGCGTTCCTTGAACCTCCGAAGTTCTTCGGTCTTGGAACATCAGCACGTGGGACGGATTGCACCGGGGCTGGTCCGCTAGCCATGGCTCTCTTCACGAGAGTGACCTCACTCTTGAGGTCTGCAATCTCCTCCTTCACGCCGACCAGCTCAGCCTGGACTTGCTCTTTCACAACTTCAAGGGCGTTGTTCATGGAGGCGGTGATGGTGTTGTTGATGAGGGCCACAAGCTCTTCCCGCATCCCATCATGGTTGATCTCCAAGCTTGTCAACCTACCCGCCATTCCTTGAACATCGCTTTTGACTTGGGCGAAGTTACCTCCCAAATCCTCGATGGTAGTGATATCTTCCGCCATCTTCACTTCCATCCTCGAGACTCGCCTCTCTAGAGACTTGAGAGGATCACGAGTGCTCGACGTACCTTTTCCTCTCTGGCCCGGTGTGGGCTCTCTTCCACGCGGCTTCTCAGCATCGTCGTGAACTTCTGATCCCGACATTTTTGGTGAGGTTCTTCCTTTCCTTCTGGCTCTAGGTTCAACTTTGCTAGCACAAAGCCGAACCAGGCTCTGATACCACTTGTCACGACCTTACTCTCGATCGTGCGGCCCTAGCTCTCAATTCCGTTAGAGCGCTAGGCAGCCTTTCTCTCAACTCACTTGAAAGCAAAGAACAAGAACAAAGACAAAGGAAGTGGGAGAACTCTCTAGTGTGTATTACTCTAAAAAATGATGGAATGAGTTACAAGTGAAGGAGATGGCTCCTTATATAGGCCTCTCTTCATACAAGGCATCAATGCCCCTCATAATGTCTCTCTACTACATCAATACACCCCATAAAGTCCCCCCATAATGCACTCTATTAATACTACCATAATGTAGCCCATAAGTGCACCATTAAGCTCTCATTTAGGTGGAGAATCCTAGGAGCATCTCTATGCTACTAGTCTTCCATACATGCCACATGTGCAGCCGCCTTGTTGTCACCTTGTTGGCGCCATGTCATCGGCCACATGTGACAGTACCCATGGGTTTTTGTGGTAAAAAGTTTACAATAACAAGTTCCTATCGAACTAAAAGTCACACATCAATTTCCCCATAAAAATTATTTATACATAAAACATCAGTCTAGAAAATTCAAACAAATCATAATAACACTAAATAAAAGCACACAATTCTTTGTTTTTTTGTTCATTTCCCTTTTTGTTTGTGAGAGAGATGCAAACCAACAAACATAGTGTGTTCAACTTCAATTATTAATTTATCCCTCCCACTTCTTTTGGGAAACATGGAACAATACCTTGCCGATAAGAAATAAAAACATACAGTCAACTTTCTGGGAGAATCAGGGAAGGATTGGCCGATTGGGGATCGAATAAGGAAGGAGAGGGGGTTTTGGAGGTGTTATGGGACAATCCAAGTACCATATCGGAAATACAAGGGAAGGAACCCTTGATTATAAGTGTCCACCTAGCCAATTAGTACGAGGCCTTTTGGGGAGGATACCCAAGAGTAAAACCGTGCGGGCTTGGCCCAAAGCGGACAATATCGTACTAATGAGCAGCCCGATTATGACAAGTGGTATCAGAGCCTGGTTTGGTTCAGGGCGGTGGACGTCAGTTCGGTGGGACCCTCGTTTGGTGGCCTCGGGATTTGCGATCTACGTCTGGTTTGGTGGATCCACGAGAGATCCACGTTTGGCCTACGCGGATCAAGGGAGGTCCGTGTTTGGAAAGCAGATCGAAGAGAGTTCTTCATTTGGGAAAGTCTTTGTACCGAGAAGCCCATCGATACAAGGCGTCTGGCGGATCAAGTTAATCGCTGAGGTGAGGACACGAAGTTCGTGGTCCTTGGCTTGAGGGGAGGATTGTTATGGGACAATCCAAGTACCACATCGAAAATACAAGGGAAGGAACCCTTGTATATAAGTGTCCACCTAGCCCAATTAGTACGAGGCCTTTTGGGGAGGATACCCAAGAGTAAAACCGTGCGGGCTTGGCCCAAAGCGGACAATATCGTACTAATGAGCAGCCCGATTATGACAGGGGGAGAGAGCAGAGTGGGGACTGTGGAGGCGGCAGGTGAGTCGTGAGTATCGATTGGGGGAAATTAAAATTAGAGTAGAGTATGGGGAGAGTAGGGCGACGAAATAAGTGTGGCCTGGTATTGCTAAACCCAAACCCAACCTAACCCGGTGAACATTGTAATGGGTTTAAACCCGAACCCGACCCCAAACCCTTAAGCACGGGTTTTACCCGCGTTGACCGGGTTGGGTACCCGTGGGTTCGGGTTTATTGCCATCCCTATATATATCCCATGTTTATATACATGATCTGATAATTAGGTGATTTCGAAGTTCAAGAGTCATAGCCAATCAGGTAATGTTGGGTTGGTTGATTTTCGGTTAAGTATTAATGTAACCTAATATTTTGTGGTAGAGTTTCCAGTCATTTCAGTTTATTAGCATTCTCATAAATTACAACAACAAACATTCTTTTAATTTGGGTGGCGGCGAGCCGGCGACGGTGTAATGACTCTAAACAAGGACCAATGGAGAAGGATCTGTGGGAGGTGTTGTTGAGTTGAGAGGCAAGGGCAGAGTGGCGACTTTGGCAACTAGGGGAATTAGGCCCAAAGAAAAAGATAGAGTTTTCTTATTTTTTTAAATAGATTTTTTCATAATAATTCTGAATTTGTGGATATTGAATTTTTTTATTTTGAATGGAAAGGTTTAGGCATCAGTACAAAATCTGACTTATATATAGATTTATAAACCAAATATGAGGGTTGTAATATGGAATTGGGAGATTTGATAGTCCATATGATTAAGTGGTAAGGAGATAAAATAAGAATTTGAGGACATTTGACGAATTTATTGGGTTGGTGCAGATTTTCAGCAGCTCAGTGAAAGTACTTTTCAAATCTCCAAAGAAACTTCAATGAGTCATACTCATATCTCATTCACTTTACGTAAGATTTTTAAAGGATATGTGTAGAAAATCATATTATTCATGCTCTACAAGATAATATCCATTTTGATATTTTGAAGTAAAATTTTAACGTCAGCATACTACTGTCATATCGTGATAGTATGTCATATCGTGATATTATCACTATGGTAATGTAATGATATGAAAATGGTACGAGGTTTTTGTTATTTATCTTACCATAGTGGTAAGCTCATGTTATGACACTAGTGAAATGATGTTATAAAGTCTTTCTATAGTGGACTGATATTAGTATGACAGTGGTATATGATAGTATGCAGTTTTTAACTTTGAGCAAAAAAAATTTATCGTACCACTGCCATATCATGATATTATCATAAGAAAATATAATAATATAATGATATGAGATTGGTATAATAATGCAATCACTCTTACTATAGTGGTAAGATCATGCTATAATATAATAATATTACAACAATAAGTTTTTAAGACCTAGTTTATTTTTTTCAAAATATAGCAAAATGAATATCATTGTGTAGATCATAATTATTGAGTTCTTTATGTGCATTTTTAAATTTTTTGAGTTAAAATGAAAGAGATATATCATCATATAACTGTCTTGTCATCATGATATGAGAGTGATAACATTTAAACCAATAAATGTTTTGAAGGGCTTAGTTTTTCCTAAAAAATAGCTAAATGGGTATATAGTTTAGATCATAATTAATATGTTTTTTCTATTCAATATTTTTAATATCAAGTTAAAATGAAGGAAATATGACATATTTAAGAAAAAAGTGAATAAAGAAATGCAAATATGAGAAATTACCAACCCGTCCCACCTTGTCCACATATCAGATGTGAACCATCCTAATCAAAGGTAACAGACAGATAGTCTTGATTTTATTGTACTCTATTTGTTCCGATTTAAAAAATATGACTTATCAATAAAATGACATCTGCGTGGATGTCATATTTCTGCCACATAAGCGAAAATCAGCAAAATTTAACCACTCTTCGGTCAACACTTATATCTAACGGTCTACGTAAAATGTCAAGAAATTCATAGTTCGTGGCTTCGTGCTATGATTGTCATATTAAATACTTTGTGACAGAAGTGACACTATTTGATAATTCTGAGTTTTCTAGTCGTATTTGGCTCTCTCTTTTTTTTTACAATGTCAGTCCTTTTTTAAAAAAAAAAAATTCTTTACGTATTACACATTTCAAAATTTGCCAAAATGATAGGATGACGTTCATAAGCCTTTATGCAAATAACACAAAGAAATTTAGAAAGGAATCTCTATAAAAAGGAATTAAAATGGAAACTATATCAGCCCATCCCCCATATATATATATATAATTACAAATATGGAAATCCAAAACCACCAGCGTCCCCCCCGAGATCAAAATTGAGTTACAAATATGGCTGCGCTTTTCCGTTCATGTAACCAATGTTTCTTATCACGAACTATATAAATTGACTAGAGAATAGAGATGGCCGGGCAGCATTCACAATCCATTCACAAAGCAATTGAAAGAAGAAAGAACCCTTGTGACAGACAGGGATCGAATAACTGAAGATGGCTACGTCTTCCAAATTTCCTCTCTACCTCGCTGCGTTGCTGCTTCTATCTGGTATGTTTTTTCTGCAACAGTTTACTGTGTTACTCATACTCTAAATATATATATATGCATCTCAATGCAAAATATGAACAGGGTTTGCGGTGTCAATTGTGGCGGAAGTGACGCCACCAGCTTGCAAAAGGGATGTGGATTGCCTTTGGTATTGCGAGCGGATCCATCAGGGACTTGCTCTTTGCGACGACAAAACTGGCTTTTGCATTTGCCTGCCCAGAGGCGACGGCCCAACTCCTCATCAACGGCCTTCATGAGAAAAAGTCCCTCGCCATATTCATATGAAATAATAGATATACACTCATGAATCCATATTGTTAGCTAGCAACGAAATTTGATTAGTTGGTGATTGCTTAATTAATGGATGAAATACACAATTTTCTTCTTTTTTAAGAATAACAAATCTACTGATAGTTAACTGGGATCTCAAGGCCTCCCAATTCTCACACCTGCGATTTGCCCTTTCTTTCTTTCTTTCAAGTTTCAACCCTAATTCTGAGTGGTGAACCCTATTAAGTTCTGCTAGAGCATTCCGCAAGCGTCTGTCCCTAATACTACTTCTCCTGCAAAGATGGAGGAGGCGTTAGCAAGCTCGTTCTTGGAACATAGTAAGCGGAAGCGAGCAAACTGTAGTACTGCCTCGGTCAAACAATCAGCAATTGTGTAGTCGTAGGAATATGGCGAACAACAGTTGTTTAGATTGGACAAGGTGATGCGCGAAATGATAGTCGGTAATAACAAGATTGATGACACACATTTTTATGCATATTTTAGAATCCATTTTTTAGATGTTTGAATGTCATAATTATCATATCTTTCCCATTTCGGGTTGATTTGGTGTTATATGTGATTAAATGTTGATACCCTAGGACATATCATGATCTTATCGGTATTTGGTCATTTGCCTCGTAACTTGCTCATTCTCATTCTATTCTATGCTAGGTTTAATTTTATTTTCTAATTTAAGGTCCTCGCTTGCTGAGAAGATTTGAACCAAGTTTTGGGTCATTTCCAGGCAGTGGCGGATCCAGGGGGTGGCCACCCCGGGCCCCGGCCCAGCCCTCCCCTGGATCCGGAACTAGTGTATCCCTTATGAGTTTATCGATTTAACCATTTGGCCCAGTGTTATTTTATAATAAAATTGTGTGTAATTAGGAAAATGGGTAAGATGAACATATTCAAATCACAACTCTAAATTTAGCATGAAAATTCTAGCTCCAATAGTTCTCATATAAAGAAAAGCAAACAATGAAACCTAAAATTCTAAAACGTAAAAGACTAAAAGAAATATGAGGTTTATTCTCTTAAGAAATTACTTGAGCAGCTGTTGAAAATAGGAATTGATTAGTCGATTGTGTTGACATTTGCGCAACAAAATGAACGATGAATTTCTCTCCAATGGGTTAACTATTTTATCTTAAAGAGAGTATGCTATTGATGTGGATGTAAACTCTATTATTGATGAATTCACTATATTAAAATTTAAAAAATTTACGTGTACAATTGATATTGTAAAAAAAACTGTGAATTTTTTACGACATCTAATTTTCTAATGAAATGCGGCCCAGTGCTACGCTGTGTCCTGGATCCGCCGATGTTTCCAGGTTGTTTGAAACGTGAAAAGGAGACAGGTCACGACCAAGTCAAGCCTTGATCGACATCACGACCTGACATATCACAAGGTGAAACTCTTTCTTCGGTCGTGAACTCGAGCAAAATAGAGAATGAGAGATGAAGGGCCTCGCAGGCAGACTCGCAAGCGGAAACAAAAGTTCACTACAAATCAAAGTAAATCTTGAATGACTTTGTTAGAAACACGTTTCTATCATAATTATTAGGGGCTTGCTATTTGCCGCCAACTAAAAAAAAAAGTATATATGTACATCCTTGGTTAAGAAGTTTCACAATCTACAACATATTCAACTTTCAGAAAACGTATTGAATCAGAAAAAATCGACGCTCGCCGGAAAAGTCGCCGAAAAACCATCGGGAAAGCCCATCCTCGACGTAAACTACGGACACGCATCCATGAATCATCACTAAGCAGGTGCGTGAATTTGTTGTAGTTTCGAACAATTTTTCCGACGATTTGCAACGAACAGACGGTGGGCCGAAAATTTCCGGCGGCCGAAACCTGGCCGGGCCAAAAATTTTCGGCGGCCGGAACCTGGACGGGCCGACGGAAATCGGTGGCCGGAGCCAGGTTCCGGCCGACGGAAATTTTCGGCCCACCGTCTGTTCGTTGCAAATCGTCGGAAAAATTCGATTTTAGGAGTTGAATTTAGAGTTTAGGAGTTGAATTTAGCATTTAGGATTTGAATTTAGCGGTTAAGACTTGAAATTAGCGTTTAGGAGTTGAATTTAGAGTTTAGGAGTTGAATTTAGCGGTTAAGACTTGAAATTAGTGTTTAGGTCACAGGAATATTGATGTGTTATATTGTAATTGTAGGAAAAATGTCAGAGTGGTTACCGGCCGATCATGATTACACACATGAATTTGAGAATGAGATCCATTATGCAAGTGTGAACTGTGAAGTTAGCTGAGTTAGATGCAAAAACAATCGCTCAGGAGTGTGGGTTCTTTATTGTTAGAGGAGCATGGAAACCGAATACTGCTGGACTACATCCTGTTACTGCCCTCTGTATGTATTGCGACAGAAGCAGTAGGATCGTTAAATCTTATAAATCAGACCCTACGAAGGAGACGTGTGGGAATATTAGTTCGAAGGGTACTGGTTTCCAGTTTCAGATATGTATTAAGGAAGTATGGCAAGAGAATGGTCCAAACACATGGGTCATAGTGGGAGTGACAAGTCGTGAAACCGGAGCTAATAGAGGGTTTCACAACCATGAAAAGTTGTTGTATCCAAAACATCACCGACACAACAAACAGTTTAGTGAGGCTGAAAAAGAGAGGTTAAGATTAATGAGGAAGGCGGGGGTGAGACCAAATCAGCAGAAGACGACACTCAATACTGAAGGGGGTGTGAATCATGATATCAAACAGATGTACAACAGAAATTACAAGACAAGATTGGATGAGATGGGTGAAATGGATGCGATACAGTTTGCGCTTCACGGAGCTGAACAACGTGGGTATCATATCTGTTTGCAAAAGGACTCTAATAATGTGCTCACTAATCTGTTTTTTGCGCACCCGACGTCCATTCAGATGTTGCATGCATGGCCGTACGTCATCCTCATTGACTCGACCTACAAGACGAACAGGTATGGCTGGCCATGGGTTGAGATTATTGGGGTTACTCCAGTCAAGAAGAATTTCAACATTGCATGTACAATTATTAAGCAGGAAACAAAGGAAACATATGAGTGGCTGTTGCGATGTATTAAAGGGTTGCTCGGTGATACGGTTCCGAATGTCATTGTGACAGACAAAGAAGGTGGTCTGCTTGCTTCTATTCCTGTGGTCTTCCCTCTCCCACATACTGTCCACCTACTATGTTTATGGCACGTCAACAACTGTGTGAAGCAAAAGTTTGAGCAATTACTGGGTGGAATTGCAAAAAGAGAGGTAGCACAAGCGGTATGGAAGAAATATTTCGACAAAGCTGCATGGAGTTGGACTCAGGAGGGTTTTCTTCAAAAGATTAATGAGTTTGAGAGGGTCTGGACACAGAAGAACATAAAAATGGTCGACTACGTGCGAGGTGAGTGGTTGCCTCATCAGACAATGTGGGCAAAGTGCTACACGAACCATGTGTTTCATCTTGGCAACACGAGCTCGAATAGAGTTGAGTCATCTCACTCTTCATTCAAGACTTTCCTTGTGTCTGGTAGAGGAGCGATTGACACTTGTTTTGCGAAGAACCACAACTACATGGAACGTCAGTTTCTGAAAGTGGTGAATGAACTGCACAAGTCACTTAACCGCAATCTGAGTAGGGCAATTGAGCCTCCGTGCACGTTTTTGAGGAGGGTCGTTAGTTGTGAGGCAATCAAACTGATGTTAGATGGTGCGGCGGAGTTGAAGGACAGTTGTGCGTGTCAATTTCAGATGACACATGGGCTCAAGTGTGCTTGCCAGGTTGTTCAAGCTAAGGAAGAAGGAAGTCAATTCTATGCTCAAGAGTTGCATGTATTTTGGCGGACTTTGGATTATAAAACCCCCCCACGTCAACAACAAGTCAATGATGAAATAGAGCTTCAACGAGAACACTTTAGGCATCTTACTGTTGAGGTGGAAGAAAGAGGTCCTGAAGCAGTGAGACAAGCAAGAGATGCCCTATTCTATGGGCTTCACCCAGCAGAGGACAATGTGAGGGAACCGGAAGTGAATGAGAATCCGAGAGGACGGCCTCGAACAAGCACCAGTCGCATTCGTTCATATTATGAGCGGTCTCGTTCAAGGAGTACTGGACCTGGTTCGAGTGGAGGCAGGGGGCGATCGAGTGGAGGCAGATCCCTATCGAGTGGAGGCAGATCCCAATCGAGTGGAGGCAGGGGGCGATCGAGTGGAGGTGAATCCGACGAGCATGATACAAGTGAGTAATTGGTTAAATATTATAGTCCATCTAGTAGTAATTGGTTTATGTTTGTAAATTTTGTGCAAGTAATTTTGACCGTTTGGTATATTTTTGTAGATTACTCATCCCAGAGCCCCCCAGGGCAATATTCTTACCCTTACATCGATGAGCTTTTTCCAGAGTTTGTTCGACCTTTGCTAGTAGGCGATTTCAACCCTAGTCCAGACGGCCATTGTGGTTTTAGGGCACTTTCTCATTGTATTTATGGGGATGATAGTCACTATTTGCTCATGAGATCGACGATTGTCCAAGAAATCCAACAACATTTTTGGAAGTACGAGAACTTGTATAATGGTGGTCCACTAGCTCACATTGACCGCATCAATTGGCTCGAGGGGGGTTCCGCACCACTGGGGCGATGGATGGATTCTGAGGACTTGTTCGTGTTTGCCACCATCTACAACATCGCAGTCATGGTCTTCACATACCAGGTGTTTGATGTCAATAATGCAAACCGTCCACTACCCAACCGCTACGATGATGCCTATACTGTATTGCCTATTGATGCGGACCCAGGTACTTTGCCACCAACCATGTTCTTATCACTGCACTATGTGAACAACCACTACATTCGATTGTACTTCAACCAGGATCAGTTTCCCATACCCCCTCTGCATCCAATTTGGCATGGGCTAGCAAATCCTAATGTGGCGGAGTGGGGAGCTATTCTCGAGGTTGAACAAAATTTGTTTGCGAGTCTTGGTTGTCGACAGCGAGCCAGGCAGAGAGACCCCCGAAGAGCTAGGGGAAGGGGTAGAGGTAGGAGCAATGCATAGTGTTGCGATGCTCTATTTATATATTGTTGTTTTTCTAGTTGTATTTTAAATGACCCTAGTGTCATTATGAATATTTTACTTGACTAATGTACGGAATATTAACATCTATTAACTAATGTAAGTAATCAAACATTCATACACCTATTACCAAAAAAAACATTTATACACCAACTTAAATAAATATTAACACTAATTGTTAATTTCTATTAACTAATTAAGTAATATTTTACTTGACTAATTAATTAACATATTAAATTAAAATAAATGCAAAAACCGGGCAGGCCGAAAACAATTTGCGGCCGGCGGGTCGTCAGGCCAAAAAAAATTTGCGACCGGTGCGTCGCCGGGCCGAAAAATATTTTGTGCCGGTGCGCCGTCGGGCCGAAAATTTTTTGCGCCTGGTGCGACGCCCGGCCGAAAATCTTTTTCGGCCCGTCGTCGCCCTGGCCGCAATTTGTTTTTGGCCGGTCGCCGAACACGCCGGCCAAAATTTTTCCGGCGGCTTGTTCGGCGACCGGCAAAAAAAAATTTGCGGCCGCAGCGACGTCGGGCCGAAAGAAATTTTCGGCTGGGCGTCGCACTGCCCGAAAATTTCTTTCGGCTCGGCGTCGTTCCGGCCACAATTTTTTTTCGAGCCACCGTTTTTTTCGCCGGAAAACTGGAAAACTTGTCGGAAAATTGAAAAACTTGCCGAAAAAAAGTAAACTTACTTGTTTTCCGACGATTGAGGACGACGGGAGGTTGGCCGGCGACGGAGGAAAGGTGCCGGCGATGGAGGCACTGAGCTCGTCGACAAAAGTGTTTTTGTTGGAATGAGTCAAATGTTAATGGTATTCGAATTTATAGAATGAAATGAAGGGAAGGAAGGGTTTTTTTTAGTTGGCGGCAAATAGCAATTTGGTTGGCGGCAAATAGCCGTTCACAATTATTATTGATATGATTAGTAGTCTTTTAGTAGAATTAGGATTATTATTAGGGTTTTTTAGTATTCCTTATAAATATGTACGTTGTCATTCATTCACAATTAAACAAGAACAATTCTTCAGAAAGTATCTCCCAAAACCCTAATCCTCTATCCTCTAATTTCTCGATCTCTAGTCCTCTAAGACTTCGGCGAATTCTCAATTCTATTCTTCTTCCCTAAATTCTCAATCCCTATTTCTATCTTCTAATCCCTTAATCCCCAATTCTCTTCTCTAATTTCTAAAATCCTAAATATCGATCCAATCCGCAAACGCATTAGAAACTATATGTTTTCTAACAAATTTTTGTACAAATTCATATGTTTTATTGTCTATAATACCATAAGTAATGATTGATAGCCTTTTCACATGAATCATCTGCTCAGAATAACGATTATTAGGCGAATATATTAAATGCACAAAAAAGTGAGTGCAGAATACAAAACCTTAGCTATACCAAACAGCCGCTGTGAAGGAAATTGTCGTGTGTCACTCTTACAAATAGACTCAGAACATCTATTCACATAAATCCAATAGTTCTCCAAAGCACATCCACAAACAATAAAAATAAACAAATAGACTCAGAACACCTATTCACATAAATCCAATAGTTCTCCAAAGCACATACACAAACAATAAAAATGAAAGACATGCCATGCCAGCCTATCAAATTTACAGTAACAGATAGCGCATTCCACCGCAAACACCATGAACTATAGCATTTAAAATGAGTCTTGAATGGATCGGTGACTACCTGACCAGTAAGTACTTCACGCTAATATAATCGCTGGTGCAGATAGAGCCCTTATGCAACAATTATATGATCGCTGCTGCAGATGGAACCGCCCAAATTGCTTTTTAAATATTGTTGTACATGATCTTCTATCATCAATCCTTCAACTTCTGAAATCATCATCGTGTTGGTTCTGTCATCTGGTGCTTGAACAGTCTTCACTTCAGTTTCATGTTGAGTTCCGGTCTCCGATGCTTCCCTGATCTGTTACAGAGATTTATGGAATCCGCAGGGAATATTAAAACTCAAATAAAACAGAAATGTGAAGCACATTCAGATCAATCCTGGTTTCTGTGAGCTCCTCGCTTATCGATCATCGTGAAACAACTTGAAATTAAAAGAGGCTGTGACTTAGAAATCATCAGGACATTTATTTATTACCAACTCTGTGATGCTTTCACAAGGAATGCTGAAGTTTTTTCTTAATTGTTTCGGATTTGGACGCAAAGGTAGAGATGATCATAGTTATAGCATTGAGAATGTTATATCTACCTGCCTCACTAGTCCCGGATAAGGACGCTGCTTCTTCACAAGCCTTACCACATGTCTCCTTAGACAAATTGTTGGCAGAAGAGCGTGGATTCCAATCATCGCCTGGTCTGTTGGTCCAGGAGTTAGGGAAATCATACTTTTGTGTCAAACTCAGCTTCGCCTTCAATATCTCATTCTCTTTTATAAGAGAAAGTAGCTGCAAAAAGCATAACATCACATGGGACAAACAGGCTGCAGGATCATAAGTTGGCTACAAAATGATGCATTTTAAATGGATGAAGAGAACATGCCAAGTGCTAGCTGCCGTTCCCATAGTTCGATTAACTTGTTAGCGTGCCAAGCTGCTTCAGCCCAAAGTATGTTCTAATGTCAATCATCCTATCATTTTGTTGTCTCAATAACTACTTATCTCAAAACGGTGATGAATGAGCACTATGAAGGCTGGTGTGGAAGTATATAGCACATCAAAAAGTAAGAGCCATGTTAAATGTTGTAGTTAAATTGATACCTGATCCTGGATCTGTTCTCTTTCTCTGCCAAGCTGAAATACCATATCCATGATAAGGTTGGTCCTCAACTTGATGTCTTCCGCACTTTCAGCCTTGGAGTTGTTAGCTTGATCCAACAACGTCTCCAAACTTCGCATTCTCGACCTTAACAAGATTAGCTCATCGTCAAGCTCGGCATTAGTTTCAGACAAGATGATGCACTGTTCCTCCGAATTCTCAAGCTTGATTTCCGCTTTGGAGACTTTCGATTTTAGCTCTTCTATCAACGTTTCCATATCCCAAATTGCAGAGTACAACATATTCTGTTGCTCTTGACTTGTTTCAGATGATGACTTTGAATGTTGCACCTGGATTTGAAGTTCCATCAACTGCTTCTCGAGAGAGGTTACCTTCTTTGCATCACTATCTCTCCCACTCTTCAGAAAACCGATTTCTTCTGAGAGTTCCACATTTGTATCTGATAACTGGCTAACTTTGGCCTCCGCATTCTCAGCCCTAGTTTCAGCTTCAAAGATATTTTCCCTGAGTGACTCAACTAGATTGTCCATTTCAACCAGCTGCACTTGATCCTCTTCATGTACAGTATTTGCAGTCTTAAGATTTAGCTCAAATTTTTTCACCTGTTCTTCAAGTGATTTCACTTTGTCTTTCATCAGCGGAACTTCAGCACTTTTTGCAATATGTTCTGCTAGGCTGATCTCAAGCTTCTTCAAAGCAACATCTTTAGCATCTAGTTGTTGGATGGAGTCTTGGAGCTTTGACCTTAACTCAGATTCTCGCTGGAATGAACCATTTAAGTTGAACTGAATAATCTGAAGGTGGCCTACTAGTTCCTTCGAAATTCCCATCAAGACTTCAGCAGCATTTTCTGCCTCCAAGAATCTTCCCAAAACAACTTCTGCTGCTTCTTCCATCCGAAACACAACCTGTTCAGTATAATGCAGCTTTAATTTCAACTGTTCTTCGCTCTGCTTTGATTCAGACAATTTCTTCTCGAGATCTAGCTCTCTTGTAAGCGAATTCTCCAACATCCTCAGGACACGTCTGTGATGTTCTGCCGTCTGCTTCTTCGAATTTTGCTTCCCATTACCGGTGAGTGACAGTGTAATGGCCTTGGCATCTTCCCCTGTCAAAGTGAAAACCTCATAATAAGTGAACAGATGAAACAATATTATAGACTTTCCATGAATTTTATCTGCAAATGGATCCATGTAACGTACAGTTCTCATGTCTGAGAGCTAAAAAGGCTCTTTGTAACTTGGTTGATTCGATCTTCACCTCCAATACTTTATCTTGAGTTTCCTTAAATGATTCTTCACACTCGACCAACTTCTGTTCTATTGTACTCGGTGCTTTTGGTGAGTGTCTGCATGCAGATATCTTATAACGTGCATCAACAATGCCTGCTTGGATATTATCCATGAAACTCTCCACCTCCCTTACCTCCGAATCTAAGATTCCAGACAAAAGATCAATTTCCAGTGCCTTCTCTATAGATGTTGCTGATATGTAGCTGTACGCAGCTATTACCTCCAGGTCATTATCCCAAGCCAGTAGATGCATTAGGAGAATATGTAAGTTACCCAACTTTTCAGAGGAACAAGTCAAGTCCAAATCCACTTTGGTTAAAGTGTCCATGGCAATTCCAAACTCCTCTAAGTTTATTGCACCAGATGAGGGTGTTGCAATTGGCACATGAACTTCAACCGTTGACTCAGTTTCGGCTTCAACAGGATGCTGTGTCATTCTTGCCGTGTCTGCCTAGAATCTCAAGTCATTGTAAGCAAGTAAGATCACATATCAAAAAAGAAAGGAAAAGTAAACCTCCAGCATTTAGCAGTTCTCTTTACATGCATGAAATGAACTACTTTTAAAGGCTAGATGCAGGGAAGACTTAGTCACAGCAAGCAGACATAAGATTGATACCCAAGTCAAACAACCACCCAACTTCATATTTACCACAAATATTTGATATGTTAAACATGGGTCTGGTGAGGATTCAGATATTGCACCCCAGCAACACATCCTTTACTTACTTTCGCCAGTGATCATACAGGCCATCATTAACCATCCGGTGAAAGTTCTGTAGAATGAAACTAACAACTCTGTTAACCGTGAAGCACTGTCGCAGAACCTTCCCCGGCCATCCTCATTCAAAGTAGCTAGTTTCCAGAGATCTTGACATCCATATGATCTAATCTCATCTCCACTGAAATGATTAACCCCTTACAACTCTACCATTACAAACTAAGATGCAAATCAGAATAGGTTTCAACTCATCCGTCTCTCCACAACCCTTCGCCAGTACCATCTCAATTGATCAACATAAATGTAGTAGATTCAACTCCCTGACCAAAAAAGAAAAAAAAACCAACTCCTTGTACAAGATAGGAACCTGCTCAATTTCAACTTAACAAAAGAACCGGCGCTAGAAACATCTCTATCATTCAAGAGTATCAAAATTCTAGAGCGAGCATGAGAAGACTTCATGAAGATTCATACCAAATGACCCACCAACCCAGAAAGGAGAACACAGCGAAGATCTACACTTCGACACCATTAACAAAAGCCGGGGTCCACAAAGCCGGAAAAGCATTAAAATTTAAGCAAGAAGAAGAAGAAGCAGAATTATTCCATTCTAGGAAAGTTGGAACGATTGAGTTTAGCCCACGGAATAAACTTACCCGCTTAGAGGGAAATCACAGGCAGAGAGTGAAAGTTGTGAAGCGAAGGTTTGCCTCTCTTTTCCTCTGCTCCAAGCTATGGTATGGGTATTCCCTCTTCCTTTCTGGTAACTAACCTCTCATTTCAGTCATAAGACCGTTGAAAATTGATTGAGCAAACAAGGTCTGACTCTAAAATGAGCCGTGAGTAAAGAGATGAACTGGCACCTATGTCAGTTTGTTTCACAGCTGAAAAGAAACTGACGACTGAGTGCGCCAGCGGAAAGTCCAACAGATGAGCTGCAGGAGGG